AGGCTCCGTAATACACTCGTGTCCCCTTTTACGCCGCAACATTGAATAATTTAAATTATCGTTTTACTTCAAAGTGCTACAGAGCCGTAAGTGATAAACATATTAAATATTACTTATTATGTTAAATGTTATATTTTGTTAAATTTTATGTTATGTTAAATGTTATGTTATATTTTATTATGTATTCATACATATATCTTTATCCATTCTGGTAAAATTATTATGCTTATAAATAAACTTATTTTGTAATGATAAAACTCGACGTGTTCAGTTCATTACATAGTATTATTATTGTAAATAGTTTTAAATTTTTTATATACCTATGGCTAATGTTATTTAGTCATTAGCCGATAACTGTTGGATAATGTTGGTTTTATTGGTTAGTGTTAAGATTATCCATTTGTTTTTGGTGACTGAAGTCCGAAATGCTGACATTAACCAAAAGAATTGTCTAAACTTAGGATTAGCCGGCTAATCTTAATATTAGACGTCCTTCGGACACTAGCCGTAATAAATGTATCAACTAAATAGTCAGTGAATGCATAAAATCTAGGAATTTATTTCATAAAATATGAAATAGCCACTATCCTCATTTGGCGATATAAATGGTACCCCAAAAGTGTATCAATTTCTTTCTCCTTGATAAATATTGGATAGTCTAAATTCTTGTATTTTTCGACACCAATATTGTATATTGTATAATATATGAAACCTATAGTCAAATACCTTTACATTATATCATACTTGCTTCATTACAGTATGAGTTGCTTCTTAAAAAATCGATATAAATAAATTTGGTTATTAAATGGTTATTTATGGAAATTAAATGCATGTATATTACACAAATTAACGATTTGCTTAAATAAATTATTGTAGGTTGATGTTTTTTTTTTCCGGAAGTAAAGTAAATAAAAGAGATACTACTCGTACTTATATAATGATTACTGCTCAAGCCATTTAAAGAAAATAATTGAGTAAAGAACATAGGACAGTATTCGAAAGTTCCATCCATATAAACAATATCAACTTGGCATAGTGTTTTAAATTATTAATATATGAAAATATCATTAAATGTAAATTCATCATCGTTGATCAACAAAAATTACTCATTATTAACAGTTATAAAAGTTAAAAAATTTTTAGTAATTTATCAATCGTTCTTGGATAGGTACGTTACAATATTCTACGTGCGTTATACATATTTTGGCGAACGAATGTTACATCAATATTAGTTTCGTTATCAAATCGAGATACATAGATAATATTTTGTTTGGTTTCGCATTCAAATCTTCATGGGCTTTTCTTTTACATTTATTAGAATGCAATTTCCGTTCTACATTAGGTTGAACATGTCCATTATGTTCATTAATCTTCTCATTTACCACGGTAATATTTTTCAAACAATTATACAATTTTACAGTGCAAGTTTTATTAGTAGAGTGCCATCGAGTTGTATCATTATTTATTCGGTGAACTTTACTGTAAGTAAAATCTTCAAAAAATAACAAATCTTTTTTTCTAATACTTTTGATTATACTTCCAACATCCATTGCAATATTAATAAACCAAAACATATTCATACGTCTGAACTCTTAACTTGCGGTAAATATTGGACTTGTGCGACTTTTACACAACTACCGTAATGTAATTTTCTATTATCGCAATACCCGATTGATTAGATGAACCAGTTTTAACAAATTTATGAAGCAAATTACTTGATATATTATATCGGTTAATGTGCAAATTACAAATATATCTTTTTGGACGTGGCGCAAATTACATATATACATTTTTGAACGCGACGCAGATTATATATTTAATTTTTTTTTTTTTTTTTTGGTTAATTTTAACGCAATTTACATATGTCTATAAAAATTACACACAATCAAAATTAAATTTATCTATCTCAAATACGATTCCATTTTCAATCAATACAAAAATGTATATAGTAAATTTAAAATAATAAAATAATTATGTACAATTTTTGTTAATAATTATTAAAATAGTAATATAAAAGAGAACGATATTTTATATCTAGTTTTGATCTCTTATCGTAATGAAAATTTTTTGAATTTTTTTTTAATTAGAAATATCGGAACTTAAATTTTAAAAATTTTAGGACTTCGCTCGTTACGCCTGCCAGCTCCACTCACAAACTCGAGTGCAACTGCGTGGCACTTTTCGGTGGGATAGGGCTTTACCCCAAAGGGAATTATAGTCTAAGCCTGACCTAGTTTTTGTACAAACCTTGATACTGTTGTAAATGGGATTATGCTCTGTATGTGAACCTAAAATCTAGCTACGCGATTAAAACTCTGAATCGTCATTAATATATTATAGTAGTTTCCATCATAATTAAATATTGTATATTATTGTTTTATTATTTTAAATTTATTATATAAACTTTTGTTTTGATCAAAAAGGGAATCGGCCTATTTTAAATTTGGTCGAAAAGTGAATCGGCCAAAAAGGGAAGGGTACGGTTTTGACCGAAAATGGACTCGCCCTATATTTTATTTATACTACCTATTCAGGTATTCGCAGAATTTTTTCATTCTTTTTGCCCATTTTTTTGCAACAACTGCAACACATTTCCTTTGGCAATGAAACTTAGTTAAGTGCATTTATAGTAATTATGAAAAATTACAATTATAATAATAATAATTATTATTATTATTATTATTATTATTATTATTATAACAGAAACAATTTAATGTCTTTACATATACAGAAGTTTAACTTCGTGCAAACCCATACACTATTGCATTGTGAATTATATATCACAACTACACATCATGTAAAATCTAATAGTTCTCTAAGAAAACTACTCAACGCCCCACTTTAAGATTCTGCAGAATATCGCATATACATTAAACCGAGTATATATTAACTGTAACACGAATACCTTATAATGACTGGAGTTCATAAAAGTGAAACGTTATCATGATTTGACTAGGTACGCGGTATGTATTGCTTACGAGCTAAATCGATGTCGTAAAATTACTTTTTTACGTATAATTAGGTTACCTTAGTCTACTCGATACATATAAACTCATATTTTACTTTTCCAAGAAATCTTCTGAAATGTATCAACTATTTTAAATTTGTATTTAAAATTCATACGACTGTTGTACACATTTACGCAGTGTATTAAGTTACCTCTACACACATGTAAATAATGCTCTTACAAAGCATTATTGTTTTTTCATAATATTGTTGTGTAGATACTTTGAACATAAATTAAATAAAATCAAATTTATAGTTTTATATATCATAATCGATTAATTATAAGAACGTTTAATTATGATAAAACCACCATTCATGCTGTATTCTAACTGTCATTTATTTAACTGAAAACCACAACCTTCTGTTTAATTTTTTTTATTTTTTAACAGGTTAAATATAATACATTATTCCAAATCAGCATTTTTTTTTTTTTTTTTAAGAAAACTTATATCGAGTGGATGTACGTCAATTCTTCGGCAAATAACTGTCAAACGTTCTAATCGTTTTTAATCAAAATCTAAATGAATTATCATGTTATCCAAATTCTGAATAAACTTGATGAGCAAACTTCTGAAAATCACTTTCTAATTTATCTTTTATTTTATTTTAGTATATTATTTACTTGACTTTATCACATATGTATAAAAATATTACGTTACTGATAAGTGATTATTAATATTATTAATAATTTATTCAATTAATGTAATATTTTATCAACTGATAGTAGCTCTAGATAATAAATATAACAAGTTGATAGCTAATGATATGTTCATATTTTCTGCAGATATAATTATAATAATAAATTAACTTATTGGGTTTGCTGTGATCTGTGAATCTCTTAGATTATGAGTGACGAAAGGATTTTATTGATATTTTGAGCAGTATATTTGTATTGATTTTGGTTATTATTTCAAGATATTTATTTCTAGATTTTTAATAAAATGATAAAATGAGAATTGTATTGGTTTTACTTAAATTGTGTATTTTTTTCTTTATCCGTGTACACAATTTTGACTAGAAAGCTTGCTCCTCCAATTAATACCATATAAAAAATAAAATATAGTACTAGCTGCTAGCTGATATTTTGTTAGGTGTCGTTTTATGAATTAAAAAAAAAATAATAATAATAATAATCGCGAAAACTGTTGACTATGTTCAAAAAAAATCGAAAAACTTACTGGTTATTGAAAAAATATAATTTTTGTTTTCATCATTACTCAAAAAACAATAATCGCAAAGAATTGAAATTTAAACTCTTTTTTTTTTTTTTTTGCAAATGTAAAAATTAACTAACCTTAATAAGTAATTTGATTCTACTATTATATCAACTATCATAAGAAATAAAAAATATCCGACCTCTTTCACTCACTATCGTGAGTTTTATTTTAGTCAAATTTCACATATGTATGGATGGTCAAAATAATTTGCTCAAATTGTCACACATTCTGTAATAAAATGAATTATCTCTTTACACTGTATTCATTTTCATCTTCCTGTATACGATCCAAAATTCCATACTTGGAACGAAAAAATGTTTTCAGTATCATTATACAAATTAAATGGGAATAAATATCAATCAAATATCCATGTTGCTTATTCATAATTGTATGTTATGAAATATAAATTTATCATTAAATATAAATCACTTTCTATTACAAACTGGCGGTCACCGAAAAATAGATTTTTCGATGTTTATCTTCACTTAGAATTATTATAATTTTAAAAATGTACGGTATAATATAGAATAAGAATAAAATAAACAGTACAATTTTAAAACAATTATCAACGACGAAGATAAGCATACAATTCGAAAAAGATGTAATAAAAATATCCCTGAAAAAACGCAGTAAGCATTCTTAAGAATTGCAAAATACTACTTACGGTCTTCTCACTTCGACTACTTTTATAATTTAATTATTCAAAACAAAATTATTTTCGGTCCAAATACATACTGATTTTAAATATATTTAAAAACATAAAATAAAAACACTCACTTCCTTTTATTTTTATTTTTTTTTAGAGAACCATCGGAATCATCACCTAGAAAATAAGTCAAAATTAATTATTAGATATATTATTAGCTTTAATATTTTAAATATTTTTAATCATTTTTATATTATAAGCTTAATATATAAATTTCCAATAATATGTTCATCTAATGAAGAATAAAAATACAGTTCTCTAAATAATGCATGGAATACACTATAGTATCCTATAATATAATATCCTATATACAGACTTGTAAAGTATTCGAATACAAGTATTTAAATACTTGTATTAAAATACCATAAAGTCCATTTTATTAATTTTAATTTATTATTTTTCAAAAAAAATTGATTTCGTTGAAAACTAATATTATATTTTTGTATAGTAATAATAGGTAATAACAATGTTACCACATTAAATACCACATTACATTTTATATAGTTCTGTATTGAAATTTTTTAAGAAAAATGAAAATCTAATAATTTTAAAATAATTCCATATTTATAGTAAGTTAATACCACTTTTTATTTTATTTTTTTCATTAAAATGTAATCAATATTAGTTGAAATATATGTGAATGTAGAATGAAATATGTGAACAGGTATTTATCTCTAAATAGTCAGACATGTTATAAAAATTGTTAAGATTCATGGAAAGTAGTAACATAATAAGCACCTATACTGGTGTACAATATACATATATATTATATAGCATAAAATTAAAAATAATACTTGCATTTGTATTCAAATATTTTATGAGTATATAATCGTAAAATAAATTTTTACAGTATTTTTTTAACTCGCGTAGCGAAGTTTTAGGTTCACAAAGAGTGCATAATCCCATTTGTAACAGTATCAGTATCCGGTTTCAAACCCCTCCACCAGGGCCAAAAAAAAAGAAAAAGAAAATTGTTTTATTATTAATGACGTGTAATATATTCGTAGTTTCATTATTACGCTTTAAACTTAAAATATACAACCATACAAATATAATGATAATTAAATAATATATTGATAGGTGTTTGAAAAGTTTTGTTAACTATGCTGTTTTTAAATTCCAATAGCTATTAATTTACTGTAATGTAAAAGTAAACTATAAATTGGAAAAAAGTTGTATAAAATAATATCTATTTATAGCAGTTATTTATCTTATTTATCTGTGCAACGAAAAAAAAGGAAGATAACGATTATTTTTGTTGACCCCCCCCCCCCGGAGCAAGATTGAATATACGCCACTGCCCATGTATATATGAGTATACTATATATAATAATTTATGTACAATATAAAATAATGTATACAATATATAATGTATACAATATTACATACTTTCTATAATTTTTATATGCATACACTCAAACTTATTACCTATTAATTCATAATTTCCCTTCCCATTTATTACAGGCTTAGAACTGTCAACAAAATTTGTATTTTAGTAATTAATATAGTAAAAATATGAATTATATAAATAAATAATTATTGTAATTTAATTATCTACGTTGGCTTGGTTAAAAATTGTTTTTTTTTTCTATACTCATATTCATTAGTCGTTATTTCTTTTTTTTCATATAAATAATAATAATAATTAATTAATTGTATCGTAACATATATTTTAGCATTATTATATATTAGCACAAAAACGTGGTTCCATTGCTTGCAAATAATCATTTATTGATCACTTATTATTTTTAAATTATTGCCAAGTATCAATTATAAATTTAATGTTGTTTTCTTGCTCTTTTCGTAATTCATATATTTTATTACGTTTAACAGTATTTATTTTTAAATATGTTTCAGTTTGAATATGTTTATTACTTGGAAAGTAGATAAATGCCAGGTATAAAACTATGTGCTATAGTGCATATGAAAATATTCTCGACCATTAGTTGATCTTGCTCCTTTTGATGATTTATCTGCCCATGAAGCTGGTAGAAATTGTGCATCGGTTTCTACATAGATTTTAAGTAAAGAATAGGCAAATCCAAAATTAGACGCAGGAGAATTTTCAATTTAATGTAAAGAAGCATTTTCTACTTAATTGGCTGGTAAAAATTCTAAAGCAAAAATTTTTTTTAGCCCAACACTCAATACAAAACTTGATTTATACTCATATAATAGTGACTATATTTTTAGATATGTCTAAACCAACTTTGATTTAAATGAAACCTACAATCCATAATTCTGATATATATATTATATAATTATTCGACCTTGTTACTAAATCATTTTCGCATTTCCTTTTGATACAGGAATTGATAATTTGCCTACCAACGATATTATCATCAATTACAATACAATTATGATCATTAAGCATACTAATAACTATTGTAACATCGTTAATAACAAGCAGACTAGTAGAACAATTTTTATTAGTACAATGGTATCGGATACTACCACATTTTTTCAGTAGGTACATTTAATTCCCTGTATTTTTGTCAATCGACTTAAATGCACAGCTTGCCTTTTTCTGTTTGGAATTTTTTTTTAATTGTCAGGCCATTTTAATAATTAACAGTGTTAATATAACACACTGTGACGCTATATACGTAAAACTATATACGTTCACTCGATATGCGTTGCAAATTACGAATGAAACATACAGTAACGCCAATATGATAATAATAAAGATATTAAGAAAATGTTATCTTTATAACTTACCTGCCATAATGTATTGCCCAGTAGACGGTCAGATAAAAATAAATACCAACACTTACTCGTTTAATTTTGTATATGTATACAATATCGACAAACAAATAACATTGAGTATTTACTTTAATATAATTTACAATGTATTATATTATATATCAGGAAAATTATTGTTAATTTAATAATTTAATTATTTTATGTTGTACATCAATTATTATACATAGTATATACACATAGTCAAAATAAAATAAACAAAATCAACTAAAACATATATACATAGATATGTGGCTTACAGTTGTGAAATTGACTGGTATAAATATACAACTATCATTAGCTCAATCAAATTTTCATTTTCATTTTGAAAAAATTACATTTTGTGAATTAATATAGTGCATGTATATGCAAATTAAAGAAAATATGTATTGTATACATTATTTTATGTTATACATCAATTATTTTACATAGTATACCGGTACTCGTATTCACATATCATGTGGTACGCAATCAGTGCCGGATCTAGTATATTTTTTACCCGGAGCAAAGTATAAAAGTAGCGCCCTCCCCCTTTGTTATGACCACAATTATACTTATGTACCAGTTAAACTCTAAAGAAAAAAATCGAAGAGAATAAAAGAAAAAATATATTTATTTGCTAGATTAGAAAAAATATGTATTAAATACAAATTATTACAAACTAATACATGAAAATAATCATTATACAATAATCAAACAAATTATCATTAAATTTTGATTTTTCTTGCTTTTCTGGCGGCAAAATCGTTAATTATATCGTCATGATCTAAATTTTTGGCAATTTCATAGTTGTTACATGTCGAAGAAAATTAATTTATTAGTATTGTTAATCAGATTTTAACATCATGCGTTGTCTGATTATCGTAATTTATAGTTTGTAGATATCCTATTGGCAATAAAATATACTACAATGAGTCGCAGAAAATATATTTAGTAGACAAATAATATCCATTGGGTTTTTGAGTTTTTCCACTGTTGTTATAAACATAAAGTCAAATGGAAATATAAATTGTAATTTATATAATACTTTTATTATAAAATGAATAAAAATTATTAATATATATACACAACTTATTTTGTAATTTAGCATCTCCGACCAAAACTTCCGGGGCAAGTGCTCCGGTTCACTCCCCCTGGATCCGGCCCTGTACACAATGGTGTTGTGATTTTAACAGGTAAAAAGGGATCAAAGCGCAATCGTTTTGCAGCCCTGTAAATTAAGATTTGACAATATGTACAAGAATTGTAAATTTAACACAAACAAATTATATGATGTTTGATTGTTAAATTTGCGGTTATCAGAAAGATAATTAGTTCTTTGTCGGGTAGCTCAGGCTAAATTCATATTTTCTGAATTTACGGCTTGTATATTTATTAGTATTAACGGTCTGAGCTCTATACAAAAATTTAACATAAAACAATATACAATTTAAATAATTAAATACAGAAGCACACATAAATTTATATAATATAATAAATAGAAATAATAGTATAATAATAGTATATATAGTAAAATAGTAACAAATAATTATAATTTTAAAATTTCAGATAACTGTGTTCTCATTTTTTAGCCACATTATGCGGTCTAAGGGGTTATTCCTTTCATAAATAGTATATATAGAGAAAGATTTCTTGTGTCATTATAAGAAGGAAATGGGGAGGAAAAAGACCAAACTGATTCTTGTATTGATTAATTAGTTATTAAGTTAAATAATTAACGGCTTTATCAATATCATCAGTGGGTTTTAAATTGATTGTCGGGGGAATCTGAATTTTTTTCATTTAATTTGGCCTTGAATAAAACTAGGTTTATTAGGTTTGTTTATAGATATCATATTGATTATTAAGAGCACGGAAAAGTGGTGAGAACAGTGGTCGTATAGATTGGTATGTAGAGGATTTTTGCCATGAATATATCAAAAATGGTCTCACCTTTTTCTTGGTGAGGTAGTCTAGTGAAACGGTATAGGAGGGTTATGTATTTTATATATTTTAATGAGAAACAGAACTCTGAGAAAAACGCCATTGTAGTTCCATTGATATTTCTTAACATTCTAAAATCCTAAGATCAAAAATACTGTTCTCATTTATTGTATATAAAATATTAAATAGGTACTTTTTTTCGCCTACATATTTTTACATAATATGATATGTATTTTTTATTAAGTGAAATGAGCAATGTCCATAAAAAACAATAATGCATCTATAGACAGTGTTCCCAAACCAAAATTGAAAATATAATTATATACTAGGATTTTAAGAAATACTTTGTCTATTTTTTGCTATAAAACTGAAAGTGAAACTAGATGAAAGGGAATTTAGTAATAAATTAATCTAATTGTAACTATACTGTTTAAGGCACTTGTGTAGTTAAGTTG